AATAGTTTTAAATTTATTGGTTAATTTTGTTAACCTACAGTTGGATGTTTTCAAATGTAGTCGTTGAATTGGAATCAATTATTGCAACTAAGGAGTTGAGTCCCAAAAAAGGTACTAAGAGTGGGCTGCATTTGGCCAGCCTAATGACCATTTGGCCAAATAAGGCCTGATTGACTTTATAGAATTATAGCCTAGACATTGGTTAGAGATAAGGCTTTAGGCAAATCAGATCATTTTGACTTTTGAACCTTTAACCCTCTCGATTGGAGATGACCTTAAAATTTAATTCTATCAACCACTGTTTATAAGCACATCGGAATGAATGCCTTATTTTACTGTTCCTCACTTTCCACTGGCACAGTATAATGACAAAAATGACCTTGTAATTTTTTTTTTGCTTTTCCTTTTTTGCCCATGTCTTTTTGACTTAGTTTGGCTACCATTGGTTCTAATGTCTATTGTGTAAATTTGAGCACTCATTAATGACATTTTCATAAATTAGACAAACCTATATATATTATTTTTATGGAGAAGGAAACCCTAGTCTCTCATTTTCATCTATCCCCTTCTCTGTTATGATGCTGCCATATGGCATCATCCTTTAGGGACTAATGTACAATGGATGCTATAAGTTAGTTACAAGTTGTTAGAGTTAGTGGATTACTACAAATAAAAGCTTGTAAGAGAAGAAAGGAAGTGAATGAAATATTGTTGGTATTCTGTTTAGTTAGTAAGGTTCTAACATTCTCTCTCCAAACTAGATCTTCTCACTCTAGATACTAACTCAGTATCCAACCATCCACAATTTATAAACAGAGTAACATGACGAAATGACCCTTTAAATTTATTCTGCTTTTCCTTTTTTGCCCATGTCTCTCACTGATCTCTCACACTTGTCTCTCACAAAAAGCCTTGTGCAGAGGTCGAAAGTTTGAAACCCCCCACTGTCATCCTCTTTCACCTCTCCATAGGCCAAGATAACAATATCCTTCTCCACATTTCCTTGCAATATGAGCCAAAACCCTCTATAGATTTGTCCAAAATTTGACCATTATCTTCAATTGCATTCCTCATGATAGCAAACAATGTCATACACAGACATGTCTTCGACTGTGATGAAATTTATAAAATGAATATATTCTCTCCAGAATTGGTCATGGACAGTGACTGTCGATGCAAATTTCCGCTGTCTTCATTCTTGACAAAAATGCATCTGCAAAACAATTAACACATTTGATCAATGACCTAAGCCTCACGCACTCACGAGGTGGGGGGGGGGGGGTTAGGCCAATGGATCTCTGATGCCTAAATTAGTTTTTTTGAAAAGAGTAAAGTGTTTAGGGCTTTTCAGGATAGCAAAAGCTTCTCAAATTTGGTAGAATATGGGGTATATATAGGGAAAAGGGTCAGCCATAGTGTTAGGGTTTTACCTTATGGAGAAATATTCCCAAGATATTAAATAAGAAATAATATCTTGAGATAATGGAGTAATTATCCCTAATTGATTTAAATTGGGATTACTTACTGAATTAGAGTCAATCTTCAATTGGGAATGTATTAAAAATAGGATTTGGGTAATTAATCATTATCTTTAATGCTCTGACTTTTCTTTGCCAATGGCATGTGAGTGTGGGTAGTCATATTCAGCTGATGAGACCTTCAGGGGTGTGAGTTGTGTGTGGGAGTATCTGAGGAGCCTGACCATTTATTGAGGGCAATCTTGTCTCTCTTGAGCAAAAGTCCACGTGTCGCTTCTAGAATTTTGGGGATTATTTTAGGCTCCACAGTGACCATTGGTGTGAGGAAGGTGAGTGGTGTTTGAGGAATACTCGAAACATTGTTTCAAGTCCCATCTCATTCGTGTGTGTGTGTTTTTTTTTTTCTTTTTTTAGGAGAACTGGTGTTTATGTTTTGGGGAGTGTATGGAAATAATTTGTCCCACCGTCGTCTACGCGTAGACATATTCATGGAGACTCATCTCTCATATATGCCTAAACAAAGATTCCTTCATCAAGAATTGTTCAATGTGCATCACACATCATTCCTTATAACTACTCTCGTGATTTGATTCTCCACGCCAAGAGATATGTAGGGAATCCAACACAAATTCAGTCATACACCCCAATCAATCTCATTATCTCTCCCCATGTCCAACGTTAATGGATGATTCCGACGAGTATTGTCACCATTTGCAGTTGTGCACGAATTTAATTCCAACATGATGTAGGGATCATTAGAAATAATAAACCTAAGTTTAAGTAGAATATTTCGTAAACAACATGTAGTGTAAGGAAATGAAGCACAATTGAATTTTGAAGCACAACAAATAATGACTCAAAACGTATTAAAGAAATAAGAAGAAAGTATGCCGCATGATTGACTATTTGTTCATAATGACTAGAAAACTAATTAAGAAACAGTGACAAGTCAAAATGTATTGTAACGTAACTGAGTGATATCAATAACTAAAAATCTGGAAAATTAAAATCTTTGACATTCATCCCCATGAATACATTGATTTGGACGGGAGCATTTTTGCTCACCACCATAATTATGGTGTATGCTCACCATACACTTAATCAATTGACACATGTCATTTCACTTAACTCTAGTTAACTTTCACATTAAATGTTAGTTTTTCAATTTTGAAAAAAAATAACCAAGATTAAGTGAAATGACACGTGTCAATTGATTAGATGTATGGTGAGCATACACCATAGTTTATGGTGGTGAGCAAAAATGCTCAAAAATAGTCCAAGGATATAAACCGCAATAAAAAAATAAAAAAAAAGCAAATCGCAAGCTTTAAAGGTATGTGACTCGTCATTACACAAAAGGAAGGTTTTTTTATTTTTATTTTTTTACAAATAATAGATTTTGTTTAGATTAAATGTTAGACTAATCATCGACGGGATTCAAACCCACGCCGTCATGTAAAGGCTCAACACCTTTCCACCATTAGACCATCTCCAACCCTTGGGCTAAAAGCCAAATTTTTTAGCCCGGAAAATTTAGCTTTTAGCCCAGAAACATCTTTTCTGCTCCAACCCTTCTACTCTAAAATTTTAGCCCGGAATTATTAAAGAATGAAATTAGACTAAATTTTTTTCTTAAATCAATTTTTTTTAAAAATAAATATGTAGATTATTGTAAATTAATTTTATGAACATTTTAATCTAAAAAAATTTAAATTCCGATAAACATTTCGCATTTAGCCTAGGGGGAAAGCTAGGGGGTATTTGGCCCAGAAATAGCATTTGGCATTTAGCCTAAAATTTTAGCATGGGTTGGAGAGTGTTTGGGGGGGGGTAATTTGACTTTTAGCCCAGGATTGGAGATGGTCTTGTAGTAAAAGCCAACTTGCCAAAAGGAAGGTTGTTTAAATCAATAGCTGGTCAACGGCAATCTATAAACAAAATCTTCAATATTAAATCTAATAATTAAGTGTGAAAATGATCCTAAATCTAATTATCTCTATATTTTTGTTCAAAAAAATTATCTCTATATTTTATGGCCAAAGTTATAATTTACATTTTTCATTGGGTTAGAGTACACGTAAAGCATTGAAGATTCTACTTTATTTTTGGTGGGTGATGCTTCCTATATTATCATGTTTTTAAATTTTGCTTTTGAAGAATTGTGTTTACGTTTTTTTTTCTTGTAAGTTTACATTGGTTATCATCAAATTGACTCAAAAGTGATGAATTACTCTGGTGGTTCGGTCTTCCTCTTCAATCTACTTTCGCCTCTAAACATTGTAACATCTCACATCGACCAACAGATAGGGGATGATACGCCTTATATGTACATCCCCACTGCCATATAGCACGAGGCTTTTTGGGAACTCACTGGTTTCGGATTCCATCGAAACTCTGAAGTTAAGCGAGTTTGGGCAAGAGCAATCCTAGGATGAGTGACCCACTGGGAAGTTGCTCGTGAGTTCCAAAAAACAAAACCATGAGAGCGTGGCCCAAAGCAGACAATATCGTGTTACGACGAAGCCGAGACTGGGATGTGACAATTTGGTATCAGAGTCACTCTGTCGTGTGGTGCAAGTGTGCCGATGAGGACGTTGAGCCTCTGAGGGAGGTGAATTGTAATATCCCACATCGACCAACGGAGAGGGTACATGCCCACCTCCATATAGCATGAGACCTTTTGGGAACTCACTGGTTTCGGATTCCATCGGAACTCCGAAATTAAGCAAGTTTGGGCAAGAGCAATCCTAGGATGGGTAACTCATTGGGAAGTTGCTCGTGAGTTCCCAAAAACAAAACCGTGAGGGCGTTGCCCAAAACGGACAATATCGTGCTACGGCAGAGCAGAGACTGGGGATGTGACAAACACTCCCCTTAGCATAAATTAGTGTAGAATATCACTTGTAAAAAAAAAAAACATAAACACCTTCAAATTCACCCCTTTTTAAGACGTGATAGATATTATGTCACCCATTCTTATTTTGTTTGTACATAAACTGCAACCGTGATCTTCCAACCAAGTTCAAATAATAAAAATGAAATGAAAATGGTGTTTTATATGATTATCTTAAAATACGCTTTATTGTGTGAAAATGTGCTGCCAAGTTCGAAATTTTGTTATTATAGTAAATATCTTGGGTTCGGTATTGAGCTTGAATCTTTTAAGCTCAACGAAGATTAACTTGTATAAAAAGTAAGTCAAGCTTAATTTGAGCTTGAAAATATTTAACAAGCCAAATTTGAACATTGATATATGATTTGGCTCGACTTGTTTATAGACAATATACGTGAGTCCACTACTATATTTTTTAACCAATAAACAATATACTTGGGCCTACTCGCGTCTCTGTCTACTTGATTGTAATTAAGATTCTTCGTTAAAAGGCCTTAGCGCAATTATAAATGTGCTTTATATATCAAACTCATAATAAGTTTTTGGTATTATATACAAATATAAACACCTAACAAAAGAGTAATTATCCTATTTTATTGTAAGTAGGCAAAGTTGTAATTCGTGTGATAGGGATCCTTCAAAGATTTAAGCTATTGAATTAAGTATACTGGGGGAGTAAAATCTACTACAAAAATTTAGGGAAAAAACAATAAAGAGAGAACAAATAAAATTATAAAGAATTACATGCATGATAAAAGAAAATAAAACAAAATGATCGAGTAATATCTCTATTTGGTACGTAATTATTTTGGCAACGAATTAATTTTCCATTTTTCATTGATTGATTTGGTGTGGTGCAGTGGCTCCTCCTGCAGCATGAAGACGAAGACACCAAAGCATGATCTTGGAGCATTCTTCTGGTGGGATTCCCTTTAGTTTTGTTTCGTCTTCAAGAACCACTTCCTTTACAAATTTGATTGAATTCTGTTGCCAAAACAGCAATTAAAAAACCATGCTGTTAAACTTAAAAAATATATAAACATATATTCAAAAGCAAAACAAGCATCCACATGCTTATATAATTCAAATAATAATTGAAAGAGAGTAACCTAATTATATATAAATACAATTAGTTCTGATATGGTATTTACTTTTATAATTTTTTTTTTGTCAATTCCATCTTTTTATCTTTGCAATAGTTTTTATATTTATGTTTTTTTCAAAGGCGTTGTTAGTTGAATGATTTTAAAATGGTTGGAGCATGCCAACCTCTACTAAAACATTTTACTTATAATATTTAAAAGCATAAAATACTCTAACAGGTTGGTGCGACAGGACCCCAGCGACACCTACACCAACTTAAATAATTTTATTTTCTTCCATATATCTTTTTTCTTAGGGAATTTTAACAAAAAGTTTTCAATATTGTTCACTTTAACGAAAAATTATATTTTTACACTAAAAAAATCAATCATGGTACTATTTACTTTATCCTTTATTTTGTCCTTATTGTTAAAACTCAAATTTTCAAATTCTTTTCATTAGTTTTCCTTTTTTCTTAATGATACTTTCCCTTTTATTGTAATTTAAATTTTTTTCAGAAAAGTTATGAAATATGCGTTTTGCATGGAAGCATGTCTATCATCGATGGGTGCATATTAAATTTCACACAGCTCCACTTTCATGAGGCATATAAGAGGAAAGAATGACAAATATGTGAGATGCATGTTATAGTATCAAATTATGAATTGAGACGTTATCCTAAAAAATATGATTCTACATATTTAGCAGTCGTAGTTTTGAAACATGATAGCAGACAATTCATGTACCTGATAGGAGCTTTGAAGAGATGAAGTGCGACCCCATCTCTCGGGATCCCAAAGAATTGAACTATTGAAAGCAAAACTTGAGATATGAATGGGAGGCCTAGTCTCTGTTTCATTGTTCATTTGCTTCAAATGCCATCCTATGACTTGTGAAGAATCACATACAGGTCCTTCAATGATCACCTTCTTTCTGTTTGCTGCAAGTATAGCCATTGGCCATGTCCCAAAAACCCTGCAAATTAATAGACAAATGAAGCACTTGACAAAAGATTCTTTCCTTCAACAAATTTCCGTTTAGATATTACAATGTATCCATTTGTATATAGTGATAAATAAATCAAAGTTAAATTATACGTAGTTGTTTTTATTCATAAATTTTGAATGAAAAATTATACATATATAATAGTCAAATGCACGCACCTAAACAAATGTTTGCTATTGATGTGTGTATATCCCACTGCAAGACTTACAATTGTTTCAAAAATTCAGACTTACATATGCACTTTAGAATATTGGCATATGCACTTTAGAATATTGGCAAAGTCCAACAAAATTCACTACTCACAACCTTTTTAGTCCAAATAAGCAATAAGGGACACTTCTTTTTTTCCCCTTCCAGCAATCACACCTTTCTTAAAAACTACTCGAACTTTGAAACCTCCATCCCTCCAGCTAAATTACCATAGGTTCTTACGTTCAAAGAAATAAAAAAAAAAGGAAATTTTCAAGATATCATGATCTATTTCTAACAGCATAATACTAGGTAAAATTAATTTTACAACATAATATTCAAAGTTAAAATTTCAATCGAATGAAAAAAAAATAAGGAATTAAGGAATATTTACGTACTCAATTTCTCTGAGTCGGTCGAAGAAGCCAAGATCGTAAACATTAGAAAGCCCTGCAAAGTGGACAATCCCACTAATCCTGTGCTTCTCAATGTGCTTAAGAGCAATGTTCCTCTGGCGATCCCTTTCAGCTTCTGCGTCTGTGAAATTCATTCTCGAAACCAAATGCCTGTACATAATCCCCGTTCCCCTCAGCACTTCAGACACTTCATTCGACTCCGTTTTCGGCGCCACCACGATCCAAAGCAACGGCTGAGGAACCAACCTTATAGTATTGGCTAGTCTTCTCAAAAACACACTTTTAAACTTAATGTCTTTCGTGCTCGTTGCTGTTGCAGTGACTATGATTATGAACCTTCTCGGAGTCACCTCGGGTTCTTTCTTTTCCTCTGCTTCTTCTTCTTGTGTGAACCTCGAGTTTTCGGAGCTCTCTTTATGCCTTGCAGGTTCTGCTGCTGCTGCTATTGACACATTTGGTGTCTCTGCAGCTATCAAACTTCTATTAATAACATCCGGTGCTATTTCTTGCGGCGGTTCTACTGACTGCGGCGGAAAGTCCAGTGATTTATTGGAGGAAACCACGGCATCGGTTCTAGCGAAAAGCGAAGCCTTATCCGTTGGGGCAAAACCTGAGAAGAACCCCATAACAAAACACAAAGCAAAATGGACGGCAGCTTTCTTCCATAATTGGACCCTCTTCTTTGTTCTTTCCGTTGTACCCATTTCTTTGAAAAATCTATTAAATTTGGAATTAGGGTAACAGGGTTTTTTGGTGGGTTTTGGCCAGTATAATATATATAATGTAGGAATTTGTATGAGAAATTTTATGTCAGATTGGTTTATGCTTAAAGGTGTTAATTTATTAAAAAAAAGGTGGAGCTAGCTAACATGGTTATGATTGGTACTGGCAAACTCAAAGAACATTTGTTTTTGTTATGAGGTGCTTCTTCTGGTGAGTAGTTTTTCTTTTTGGTAGTTGTTGCTTCAAGTAAAAGGAAGTTGGAGAGAAATGGGAAGGACTTGAGTTGCTGTCTCCGCACCCAATAGTTGTTGGGATAGAAACCCATCAACTAATGGCATCAAAATTCAACCGATTGCTAGATAGTGTTTGTTTTGTGATATGGAGTCAACCAAACTTTACATATAGAAAGAAAGGAAAAGAAGGATAGAGTATATAAAACTCGTTCAAATTACTGGGAGAGTCTGCATTAATTTTAGAGTTACCAAGCAATGTTCTTATGGCTTTTTACACATAAAAATGGAATTAGGAGGGAGTGTAAGTTATGTTTGATTTAGAGATGTTTAATTCTTGAAAGGGGTTCTTTCTCAAAAAAGAAAAAGAAAAAAAGTCTTAAGATTTGCCAAAAAAAAAAAAAAAAAAAAAAAAGAGTCTTAAGGGGTTGACAAGAGATGTTAAAAAAAAAGAATGAGGATCATCTCCTGATCCTCTTTGTGAGGATCCCAGGGATCCTCCAATCACGTCCGTTCATCGTGCGGTCAGAAATCATTGTAAATTTTTTTACTTCAATTTTAATATAAACAATATCGAACTTTAATGATTCGAACTGTCTATTTTGTAAGTGTTGATTCATAGATCATCCTTGCAAAAATTTAATTCAATCCGAAATCATTTGCTTATTTAATTGTCACAATGAAAGTTCAATGTTTCTTAGAATATAATGTTCGTCAATTTCTTTGAACTAAATTATAAGCTTCAAATATTTCCGATTTGACTAATATTTTGCAAAAATGATCTATGAGGTGCAACTTGAAAAATAAATAGGTCGAATCGTTGAAATTCGATATGGTATGGATCTCACAACTAATCTTTTTTTTTCAAAAAATAAGAATTATCGCTATTATTTATTAAAAGACTCTGATCAGTTTCATTCGTGTAAACTTCTGTAAACTTAATTTAGTTATCTTTATTCTACTAGTTTGGGATGTCAGAGAAAATTTTAGAAAGAAAATAATATTAATTTGGTTGCCATCATCATGATTCACGAGTCACAAATCATAAGGTTGATAAGAACATTTTGGACTAACATAATATCCAAAGTAACACGTGTGTCTTGCAAAGATAGTGCTATTTACACACTTGTTTTTACTTCTCACACATTTTACTTAACTTTTAATCGTCATATTAAATGAACGGAAAAATATCAATGACAAAAAAATTAGTAAGAGGGTGTGAGAGATCAAAATGGATGTGTGAATAAGATTATCTTTTTTTCAATTTTTTTTTATAAATAAAATTATCTACCCTAAAGGTGAGAGGTAGACTTAGTTTCACAATGAGCTAGCAATAATGTGATTTAAATTCGTCTTTGGTGAGAATCAAACATAAATCCTCTTACTTACAAATAAAGAAAAATATCACTAGACCATAGTTTTAAGTGACAACATTGTCCTATTAAAACATTAAAAAATCAACCGATGCTAGCTAGGGTATAGAATTTGGAATTTCACTTCAAACATCATATGTTATTAAATATGTATTGTAGATAGTCTCATATTTAAATTAGTCTAAGTTGTAGCAAAGCTCTCATCTATACCACGAGCTTAGTTTTTGTCATTGAACTCTACTAATTGTTTCTCTCGTCCTTGAATTATGGCATTTGTTGCACTAGTAGTCATTTTCATTAACTCCGTCAACTTTACTGTTAAGTTGAGGGATAACATACTAATTCATCCAAAAAATAAGAAAATAAATTTTAAAGAGAAAAACTTGGCTCTTCAAGGATTGAGGAGGAACCCCTCCTTAAAACACTTTGTGACTTATTCATAGAACTTCGTGCTTATGATCGGAACTCTTTAAAGATTGACTATACGATATCTTAGTTTTAATTGATTTTTTACAGAGATGATCTTTACATAGTGATTTATAATAAGAACGGTGCTAAAATAAAAATTCTTTGAATAGGCCACAAAGTATTTTGAGGAAGAACTCCTCCTTAACCTTAGGGAGCTCATCTTCTTCTTCTTCTTTTTTCAAATAAATTAGTTTTTTTTTTTTCATATGAAAAGAATACTATGCCCTCAAATTTGATGGAAAAGAGAGTAGATTCGACGAAAGGACCATTCATGTAACGGAGAGGTAAGTTGAAGGATGAAAGAAACTAATATAAGAATTCACAGACAAAAACTAAATATGAGCTAAAGTTCAGGAATATTTGCTAGCACACCCCCTTAAACCTATTGATTGATTGTTGATGTAGATTTAGCTGAAAGCTAAAACTTAACAACTCACTCATTTTTCATACTCTTGTTAAGCTAAACCTACCACGTACCCATTCCTCATATTTGAAGGAACCGTTAAACTAAAACATCATCTCAATCCTTATATACGTTTTGATTGAAAGCAACAAACATTGATGCCACCACACATTGAATACCATACAAAAGACTTCAAACTCATGGAAGACCTTTTTTTCTTTTTTAGTTAGTACATTTATTCTTAATTTGAAGAGTTTAATCTTTTAATACGCAAGACTCGATTTGAGTTTTAAGGGGCATAGATGTCATTAAGCTAAAAATGAATGAGTACTAGTTATACTTGGTTTAGTAGGAGTTGGAGTTTGAATTAGTGAACTAGACTGAATCAAACCGAATAAATAAATTGAAAAAGTTCATTTTAGCTTTAACCAGTTCAGTTCTCAATTTTGTTATATAAAAACAACGTTGTCTAGTTTATGACTAATTTTTTTTTTATGTATGGTCACACTTATAGGCTATTCTTCAGTTTTGCAACCAGAAGTTGCTGGTCGTAAACAAGGTCTTTTATGGGCAGCAAGATTGAGTAGAGCGATAGTGTTAGTGAGTTAGATAGTTAGTTATTTGCCAACCTTTACAAACAAATCAAATTTCATCTTAAATTAACCGAATCTCATCCTTCATTCAAATAGAGAAAATCCATTTAAAACCAACTAAACCAATTTGACTCCAAGCGCCATTCATGGCAGCATCCTATTGTCCCAAGTGTGTCATCCGTTGGATGACTAGTGATAAAAAAATTGCAAGATATTAATTAGGAGATAATACGTGGGATGATGATGAAAGTATTCATGATTGATTGTGTAGGGATTTCCTACTTGATAGAGTTAATCTTCATTTGAGAAAGTATTAAAGATAGGATTTAGTAATTAATCCTATCTTTAATGCATTTGACTTTTCCACACCACGAGGAGGGAAGCCTTGATCAATCATAGTCAGCTGCAGAAATGCTGAGTCGTGCGTGAGAGTATTTGAGAGCTCTGCCCATTTTTGTCTTTCTTGAGAAAAAACTCACGTGTCATCTTCTAGATTTTTGGGATTATTTTGTGCTTCACATCAAGCACAGTCAAAAAACAAAAAAGAAAAGAAAAGAAAAAAACTCTCTGTGGCTAAACTTGTGGATGCTAGATTTAAGCCAGTCATTAAGGCCATATACAACCGAAGGGTCCAGAGGGCCGAAAATAGCTTGAAAACCGTCTCCAACCAAGTGCTAGGCCACAAGGCTGTGAAATCTAAGAGGGCCCCACGAAATTGGAAATGGCTGGAGGGCTAGTTGCATGCAGCTAGCCAGCCAGCCCGGGGCTGGCCAGAAAAAATGGAAATCCTGTCGGTTCTAACCGATAGGAATACGTTCATATTACTTAATATAAATGTATTACTTAAAAGTTTTATTATTATTTTTTATTTACAGAATTTTTCCTATAACTTCTATTTTTCATATTTTTTTTTAAATTCTATTTTTTTCCTATAACTTTTATTTTACAAAATTTGTTTCATATATTTTTTTTAAAATTCCATTTTTTCCTATAATATATTTTTTTAATTCTATTTTTTTCCCTATAACTTCCTAAGCCATTATATAACATTAAATTAAATTAAGTAACATGAAATAACATTAAATAACATTAACCAACATAAAAATTATACAACATAAAAAAAACATTTAACAACATGAAACTTAAACAACATTTAAGTTGTAGTTTTTAAATAATAAATTATGTTTGGCCCTATGACCCTTTGACCCTCGGTTGGACATGGTTTTTTGTGATAGGGCTAAAACTAGTCATCTGGCCCTTTGACCCTCAGTTGGAGACGGAGGCAAATATAGCCTTGTACTGTTCATTAAAATATTAATATCTTGGAGGACCAGAGGACTAAAACGAGCCCTTTGGCCAACCCTTGTTTAGAGATGGCCTAAATATGAATTTTGAGGCATATTTAAATCGTATTTTGTAAATCATATAATGTGGTTATTGATGATTAGATTATTATTTAATTGTAAATTAACGTGATTATTACCTATTGACGACACATTCCATGATTTGTAAATGTGGTCTAAAAAATTAATTTACCTAGCATTACTTGTAAATTCGTGTAGGATAGTTGATTTTTAAGTTTAGGCTTCAAGTGATTAGAACAAACCCAACAAAAAAAAATCAAATGGGTTAAAGCCTAAGTCGAGTACAACTCGTCAAGCCGAACTAAAACCAAGCCAAACCGGTCATTCCATTCAGCTCACTATCGGTTTTATTTACCAGCAAACCGAACCGAATTGAATTAGATCGTACATACCCAACAGTCCAGCCCAAGTACGACCTCCTTGACTACTTTCCTTTTTGGGTAAATAAGTGGAGCTTCCAACACCCCAAAAAAATAAAAAATCAAATGGACTGGAACTATATCGGCCTCAACAAAAAAAAGTAGGATTATCTTCGTTGTTAATCTCTTTTTTTTTTTCTTCTTTTTTATTTAAACAATTACAATTAAATCATCATTTTTTTTTTATTTAAATAATTACAAATAAATCACGTCAATGATATCATCCGTCCAAAAATAGAGCCTAACCCAGTTGGGCCACATGATTTTCTGGGCCTAACCATTTCAGTCTCCCCCCTCTACATTTTCACTTCACGTTTTTGCACCATCTTTCTTCTCTCTCTCTCTCTCTCTCTGCAGTCGTTTGCCGGCTA